TAGCTGAACTCTTGATGCTTCGCTAGGGCTATCAAGGGTGTTTTTATCGTGACACCATCACTAAATGGATTGCCGACCAAGGCTCAGAGAGACTCCATTCACCTTCCTCTAAGAGAAGGTTTGAATTCACAGTTTTCCTTCTTCTAGACAAGTTGCCATCCAAGGCTATAGAATCCAGTCTGTCCTGCTATTTACCCATAGCTGGAGGGAGAAAAAAGAGGATTCACACCTTTCCCAAGGGTGTTAGCACGTAAGTGAATGTAATGGATTCGACTGGAATTTGAACTCGGCTCTCCGATTCCTCAATCCAAGCCGCTATCCATTACTCCACCGCGCCTCCTCAAGAGCAGACCTAGTTAAACCTAGAGAGCCAGGTTTCACCTAAGTGGATCGTCAGGGAAAAGCCGGCCTTCCCTGACGATACGCTTAAGTGAAACCTTAATTGTTTGTCTGATTCTCTATGTTATATATATATATATATATATATATTTATATATATATATATATATATATATATATATATATATATATATATATATATATATATATATATATATATATAGAAAGACATTTTATGTTTATACATTCTTTTCATAGAAACAAATATTTAAGTAAATGCTCTGTTTATAATAAACAGTATTAATGACATTGCCGGCCTGAATGTCCGAAAAAATTTTCATAGAAAATATTCCTCCTCCTACAGGAATCGAACCTGTATAGGATACAGGTTCGATTCCTGTCGGAGGACATTCAAACAAGTAATATTTGCATCTATAAAAGAATGTATAAAACATAAAAATATCTTAAATATATATATATATATATATATATATATATATATATATATATATATATATATATATATATATATAAAAGCGAAGTTCAAATAATGCTACCAAGTTTCATGCAACCCTCATTTTTTTCTTATACGGTTGTCTCGCAAACTTCAGGCAGTTCAAAGGGACACATTCATCTGTGTCTCCAAAAGACAGCATGCCTTAACCTGTAACGTAACACCCATATTTGTAACGACCACTTTTCAGCTCCTTCTTGCCGGTCTCATTGTGTAATATATGTCATCAACCTCATAAAATACAACTAAATATAGAATTGAGAATCTTGTCCCTTGAACCACCGGAAGATTTTGAGACTCCCCCACCACTCACCCTGTATGACAAACTGGGAGTTCACACGAGACGTTAAGTCACGGGAAAGCAGCGATATTTGAATACCGTTTTTTATTGACTCGGTTAATACAGAATGCGATGGATAAAGTGTTGTCTAAATTACGAAAAAAAAACTGAAAATAAACCTGACATCTCATTTTAATAGATACATTTACCAAAGTTATAAAAAGATATCTTCAAATACTAACGAGTAAGTTTATTCAAGAAAATCGCCATTGGCTTCAACTACGGCCTCCAGACGACATTAGAAGCTACTGAGACTCTTCTGGGCCGTCTTTTTGTTAAAATTGGTGAATGCTGCCATACTCCTTGCTTTCAGTTCATCTTTTATGTCACAAGGATCTGATGGAACTGCTCAGCAACTTGATATATTCGGGAAAGATATTAGAATAATCAAGAACCTATACTGGCCGCAAACGGCCTGTATACGGATAGAAATTGAGTTCAGCAGATACGTAGAAATATAGAAAGCGTCGTAAGGCAAGGATGTGTCTTCTCACCGGACTTATTCAAACTATACAGCGAGGCAATTCTGAGAATATTAGAGATCCTACCGGGATTCATTATCGGCGGCCACAATCTTGATACGCAGATGACACAGTTCTGATAGCAGACACGGAAAAGAAACTACAAACACCGCCTACAGAAGATAACGAGGGAGAACGAGAACAAAGGAATTAATTATGAACTACAAGAAGACAGAACGAATGGTCAATTAGTAAAAGGGTGAGCCCAAAATGCGGTAAATGCGACGCTGAGTTCCGAAGACGGATTGGGATGGCCAAGGGCGCATTCCAAAAGCTGGGCAGAGTATTACGAGACAGGAGGACTATTTGGGTGACAAAGAAAAGAATTCTGAGCTGCTACGTGACATCTGTCCTTCTTTACGGCAGCGAATGTTGGACGGTCTCCTTAACATTGAAGAAGAGACTCGAGGCGACGGAGATGTGGGTCTACAGAAGGATGCTGAGGATATCATGGACTGAGCGTTTGAGGAGGCTTACACTTAACATCAAAACTCCTTGGCACACCAAAGATGAAGAGGAAGAGGCATCTGAAGAATGCCTAGTCATCAATAAAAGGATGAACCTAAAATGTGATTTTCAGTTAGGGAACACTAGATTAAAGCAGATACCGGGAAAGCATCTTGACAGAGGATAGTAAGTGCGACACTGTGATCAGTAGACATATTGAGATTGGCCTAAGACACATTCCAAAAGCTGGGCAGACTATTGCGAGACAGGAGGATTTCTTTGGTATCAAAGAAAAGAACACTGAGCTGTTACGTGACATCTGTCCTTTTTTATGGCATCGAATGTTGGACGGTCTCCTTATCGTTGAAGAAGAGACTCGAGGAGATGTGGTTCTACAGAAGGATGCTAAGGATATCATGGACCGAGCGCGTGAGCAACGGTGAGGTTTTGGAGAGGATGCAAACAAGGAGGAGACTTATACTTAACATCAGGAAGAGGCAGCTGAACTTTCTGTGACACGTAATGAGAAAAGAGTGCCTGGAGAATCTGATACATATTTTATTACACAGAAAACTGGCACCAGTGTGTTTTACAACCTTCCATTTTCATGGATATATCTGGGAATGACTTACCAGATCAGTAATGGGTATACACATGATATCTTTTGAAGTATTGTCCTTTGTGATTTGACGATAGATGGCGCAACGGGACACTCATAACAGCGGTATGCAAAAAACGTAGGTTTCCATACTTAGGCAGCTGGAGCAAGATAAGAAAAACGAAGATCTCCATAGTTAGCATCGGAAGTGTTAACTTCGTTAATCGTACGTGAACCAATGTTTCAACGTGATATGGTCATGTGCCTATACGTTGTGAACCAAAGCACACTCTAGTTTTGTAAAACCAGAAATTATCTTTAATTTTTTTTTTTTTTGAGAAAATCATGTAAAATCCTATTAATTAACCCATAGCTGGGGGAACGGGGAGAAGAGGTGAAATCCTATATTGCCTAAGGATATTTGCGCGTAAAAAATCAACGAACCCGACTGGAATTCGAACTCAGCTTGTCAATTCCCAATCCACACATCCAAGCTTACAGCCCCTATCTAGATACTGACCAGGGGCAATATTGCTTAACTTCGGTAATCGTACGAGAACCAGTGATATGGTCATGTGCCTATACGGTGTGAACCCAAACAAACTCTAGTTTTGTAAAACCAGAAATTATTTTAGATTTTTTTTTTTTTAGAGAATATCATGTAAAGTCCTATTAATTAACCCATAGCTGGGGGAATTTGGGAGAAGAGGTGAATTCATATATTGCCTAATGATATTTGCGTGTAAATGAATTTAACGAACTCGGCTAGAGTTCGAACTCGTCTCTCCGATTTTCAATTCCGAGCCGTTATCCTTCAAACCGTCACATCAATCTTTACTGTACCTGTAATTTTCCAAGCGGTCACCCATCTAGGTTCTGACCAGGTTCGCATTTGCTTAACTTTTGTGATCGTATTATAAACAGTGAACGCGATCTGGTTGTAAGCTGGTACCATCTCTTATGACTTACGAATGAAGATTATTATTTTTTTTTTTTTAAATTCATAGAATTATCACTACGTATCTGAAAGTTTGGCACCAAACTTTTCACAAAGTCTCCAAAAAATGATGCATAATCTTTTCAAAAAAAAAAAAGTATACAAAACTTTTTTTTTAATGTTTACATTTAGAAAAGCGGCTGTCTTTACACATTCATGGTTGGTTTATTTAAGCCATCAGAATTCAACACAAACGGAGTATAGCCATTAAAAAGAAGGTCCGAAGAGATCTATTCTCTAAGCCATAGTCTCCAGAAACCCTGGCGAGAGATCAGAATCACAGAGGCGCATTAAGATCTCTTATTGAAAAGTATAGATTTGCGGAACATACACACACACGGAAAAAAAACAGCGTTCAATATCTACCGAATAGAAACAGCAAAAGAAAAAGGAAATAAACAAACGTTAGAACCAAAGGTCTGGGATATTCATAGTACTCCCAGTTCCATGGGGATTGTCGATCACGGACATATAGATACTTAAATATTTACCGTTCGAAAAGAACCATTATAAGACTGCAGAGTGAACCATATTAGAGACATTTGGCTTCGTACTTTGGTTACAACATTTTATCTTTTATTTTCTGAAGTATTGTGCATACAGATAGGTAAGTAAATATATATATAATGGGTAATGGAGTCGGAGACAGAGAGATATGGACAAAGAGAAAGAAAAGTAAAGATGGATATAAAAAGCTTAGCGGATATGAAGCGAGGTCGGAAAAAAAACACAGGATGAGATGAAGGGATAAAAATAAGCGAAGAGAAATGAGAAAGGAATACAGAAATAAAAAATGGAGGGTAAAAAAGAGACGGAGATGAAAAGACAGAGTGAAAGAAAGAATAAAGAAAAATTAAAAGAGGGAAAGAAAGAAGAAAAATCTAACAAAGAAAGAACAAAAAGAAAGAACGAACGAAATGAAGAAAGAAGAACAAAAAAAAAGAAATATATATATATAGAGAGAGAGAGGCAATAAAAGAGCGATGAAAAAAGAAGTGAAAAACGAAGAAATTACGAACGAAAGAACAAAGAAAGAAAAAACGAACGAAAAAAAAAAAAACAAACGAAAGAAAGGACAAAGAAAAGAAAAGAATTAAAAAAGCGAAGAGAAAGAATCAAAAAAAGAAAGAACGAAAAAATGAACCAAAAATTCTAAGAAAAAAGGAAAAAAGATTAAAGGTAAGAAAAACTTACGGTAGAAAGAAAGAAAGAGTGAATAAAAGAAAGAAAAGAGGAAGAGAGAATTAAAGAAAGAAAGAAAAAAGCAAGACAGAATACAAGTAAGAACGAAAAACGGAAGAAAGAATAAAAGAAAGACAAAAGGAAGCGAGAATAAGAGAAAGAAATAGAAAATGAGAATAAAAGAAAGAAAAGAGGAAGAGAGAATAAAAGAAAGAAAGAAAGAAAGAAAGAAAGAAAGAAAGAAAGAATAACATAAAGAAAGAGGGAATAAAAGAACGAAAAAGAGAGATGGAATAAAAGAAAGAAAAAAGGAAGAGAGAACAAAAGAAAAAAAGAAAGAAAGAAATAAAGAAAGAGACAGAATAAAAGAAAGAAAGAGAGAATAAAAGAAAGAAAAAGAGATAGGGGATAAAAGAGAGAAAAAAGAAAGAGAGAACAAAAGAAAGAAATAGAAAATGAGAAAGAAAGAAAGAAAGAAAGAAAGAAAGAAAGAAAGAAAGAAAGAAAGAAAGAAAGAAAGAAAAGCAAAAAGAAAGAAAGAAAGAAAGAAAATAAAAGAAAGGGAATAAAAGAACGAAAAAGAGATGGAATAAAAAGAAAGAAAAAAAGGAAGAAGGACAAAAGAAAAATAAAGAAAGAAAGAAATAAAAAAGAACAGAATAAAAAGAAAGATGAGAATAAAAAGAAAGAAAAAAGGAAGAGAGGAAAACAAAGAAAAAAAAAAAAAAAAAAAAAAAGAAATGAGAAAAAAGAAAGAAAAAGAAAGAAAAAAAAGAAAGAAAAAAGAAAGAAAAAGAGAGAGGAATAAAAGAAAAAAAAAGGAAAGAGAAAAAAAGAAAGAAATAGAAAATGTGAAATAAAAGAAAGAAAGAAAGAAAGAAAGAAAAAAGAAAGAAAGAAAGAAAAGAAAGAAAAAAAAGAAAGAAAAGAGAGGAAAACAAAAAAAGAAAGAAAGAAAGAAAGAAAGAAAGAAAGAAAGAAAGAAAGAAAGAAAGAAAGAAAGAAAAGAGAGAGGGAATAAAAGAAAGAAAAGAGGAAGAGAGAACAAAAGAAAGAAAGAAAGAAAGAAAGAAAGAAAGAAAGAAAGAAAGAATAAAAGAAAGAAAAAGAGAGAGGGAATAAAAGAAACAAAAAAGGAAAAGAGAACCAAAGAAAGAAATAGAAAATGAGAATAAAAGAAATAAAAAAGGAAAAGAAAATAAAAGAAATAAAAAAGGAAAATGAATAAAAGAAAGAAAGAAAATAAGAGAAAAGAAAGAAAACGAAAAAATAGAAAGAAATGCACAAAAATAAAGAATGAGAAAATTAAATAAAAGTAAGAAAGAAAGAAAAAAGAAAGGTTGCATGAAGCAAGAAGGAAAGAAAAATAAATGAAGGAAATATGAAGAAGAAAGAAAGCAAGAACAAATGTCTCTATCCTATGTTTCCCCTGCAAAAACTTTCTCCCCATACGCAAAGGTTTCCATCAATCAGAATTGACTATCGATGCATTCATCTCCCATTCGTTGGACTCTGACGACGAAAGGACAATTTTGTCGAGTAAACAAACGGTAACAGACAAAACTTTGTAAGCATGGCCCCCACCCCTAACGTATATAATGGCCTCCACACACATCGTGTGTAATATTCCCCACACATAACATTTACTATGCGTCACTGTCATCATAATTTGCTATTTTTCATCATTATTTTTCAAAAATTATTCAGATGCAAACACACATACACACATACACTCATATATATATATATATATATATATATATATATATATATATATATATATATATATATATATATGTGTGTGTGTGTGTGTGTGTGTGTGTGTGTGTGTGTGTGTGTGTGTGACTGGTATAAATAGATAGATAGACTGGGATAGATAGATAGATAGATAGATAGATAGATAGATAGATAGATAGATAGATAAAGTAAATTAAAGTACCTAGTTCTGTTTCAAATTCGCTTGAGGATAAAACAGAACTAGGAACTTATATATATATATATATATATATATGGTGGTCTCTCCCGCCGTATTCAACGTATGAGGGTCAAGCAGTTCTGCTTTGTGCAGGACCATCCACACTTTTGAAGGGACGAATACAGAGACCTGATGCACTACGTGCCACAAGGTCCCCAAACGACTCTCCGCAGGTTTTGAATTCAGAGATGTCCTTCTCCTAGACCAGTTGCTATCAAGGCATTAGAACCCAGTCTGTACTGCTATTTACTCATATATATATATATATATATATATATATATATATATATATATATATATATATATATAAAAAACATGCATTGTTATTGTAAAATATTTAAAATAATCCTGTTAAATATGCACCCAAACGCCAATTTGCAAAAGTAAATTTTCCAAATAATGGAAAAGAAAAAAAATGATTTCCATTATTTATACAAAAGATGAGATGTATTTCTCCAAACTGCAAATCTGACACGTGCAAAAATATATGAACCCTCTCTGTATTGATGTACTAAAGTAGGTAATAGATTTCAACAGAAACATATGTGTGTGCTTCGTTATTCAATTTTAACTGACAAATCAAATTAAACATTCTTAGTAAATTGGTTGGGCAACACAGATTAAAAGAGAGGGGGAAGTAGTTAAGCTAATGTAATCTCTGTCTATAAAAGGCAGGATGTGTGTGTGAGTGTGTGTGTGTAACGAATGCACGGCCGCAATTTTCGACGGATTTGAACCAAAATTTACATGCACATGCTCGAAGTTAGCGGAAAGGCCAAGACCGACTTTGCATTTCCCAACTCCCATCGATAGTGGAAATAATCGATTTTTCATGCTTCTACGGCAGTTTTCATGTAGTTTGCGGCCATTTTCTACTGGCCAGAGTGAGAGCTTATAGCTGGCTGCCACGAATAGGCAGGAAGATTCTATTGGCCAGCGTGATAGCCAACAGCATGGCACTTTACTCCAATTGGCTCATTCGCTTGCTTAAACTCAACGTTGATTCTGATTCCGCAGAACTGGGTTTGGTGTGAAAAAGTATTTGTTGTTAACATTCTTTTTTCATTCGGATTTTCCAGTTACGAATCCTTTTTTAAAGCTGATCATTTTGTGTTCATTTTGTTTAGTTCTTTTTTCGTAACAGATTTAATGTTTAGTATAGAGTTTAGAAAAATTCGCAGTGTGAGATAGGCAAGAAGTAAGGCATGTAGCAACATCAGCACGGCAAAGGGCATTCTTTTAAAGGCAAGGAAGGGCAAAAATATTTTAAGTCAAATGATATCGATTGCTGTATGAGCCCTACGATTTTTGAATCAAGCCCGGGCAACGCCGGGCCATGCTGCTAGTGCCAAGATATAACCTCACAGATCGGCAATGCCGAGAGGAAAGGTGATATCCAAAGACATCTGGAATAATATACTGGCTTTTCGCCAGTGTTGACAAATCTATAAGACCGTACCAAAAAGAGTATTCTCTATCTATCCACTGTTAAGAAATAATTTACAAATGAAAGACATTCCATACGACTGCAATTCTTCCTAGAAGTTGACCTCCATCAAAACAATCACCAATAAACACCAGAAAAATAATAAATCAGGTAAAGGTCGACCCACACATCACCTCGAGTTAGTATTTGAACTCTCTGCCAGCATCTGGTGTAAATGTACATGTCTACAATCAGACGAAAATTTAATGCACATCGGAGGGTTGCTAGACGAAAACATTTGTTCCTTAGGAAGACAAAGGTTGCCTGTAAAGCCTTTGTCAAACAACACAGGGCCCTTCTGGAAGACCATTCTCTGGACAGATGTGACCAAAGATAGAATTGTTTTTTCGCGATCAAAAGAGAAAGAGAAGAGAAAAGGCAAGATGGTGTATCAAGGAGGAGTGGACTAAACCGTATTCCTACAGTGAAACATATTGGTGGAAATCTTAAGACCTGGAGTTGCTTTTCGGCCTCTGGACCAGGATAACTCCATATTATCCAATGAAACATAAATTCATTGTCCTATCAAAGAATTATGGATCAGAGTCTCCTGCCATGACTGAAAATGGGTTCTGCAATACAAAACTTATCTTAGTTGTTGACCATAATTTGTCTTGGGATTGATAGAGAAGTGGTATTCCGTTGCCTTCTCCACGGTGGATTATCGAGACATCACCTCTAGTTAGCTGGCCGTTGACTCAGAGACTTCCTCCGCCCTTTGTTAGGTCTTGTTTTTCGTCCTACTGGCTTACTAACGAGCCGCCTCACTCGGAACTTGGAGTGGGGTAGTCGATATTTAGAGGATGCAAACAAAGAGGAAGTTTATATAATTTATATGGGAAATCAGGAAAGCATTGGATGAAAAACCAAGCATTTATGGCCGAAAATCGGGCTTTTTAAACAGTTTTTTATTATACGTGGGGAATCACACTATCTTATTTCTGGCATGATGGCAAATTTTTTGCGACATATTTGAAGAAAATTGGCTGAAAAATGAGGAAGTTATTCAAGTTTTTATTTTAAGTAGTACTAAAAACCCGATTTTTTTTTTACAGTTTTTTGCAATTTTTTGTGTGAAGCTTATGTCACAGAAAAACTATGAAGCACTCTACATGAAGCTCGTAACATGAACTGATGTTTTGCATTTAATGCAAAGAACATCAGCTCATCCAGTAAAAAAAAAATTGTTCGTGTGTAACATTTCCTTGGTTTTCGCAAAAAGTCATACCCCCGCCCTTCAGTTTTATCGACTTTTATGCCAAACCCGAGAGGCCTGGAGATTAAATGTTGGTCTTGACTTATTTTACCTAATTTGCAACATGTGCGTATAATTTCATTGAAATCGGTTGAGAAATCTGGACGTACATAAATAGCATACATACACACACAGTCACACACACAGACATCTTCTGTTTTTTATATATATATATATATATATATATATATATATATATATATATATATATATGCGTGCGTAATGTGACCTACTAATTCTGACGTCCGGATGATTACAATTCTTCCCCTAATTTCCAGTTCCTCAAACCTTTTCTCCAGTGCTCCGATAATAACTAGCATTACTGTCACCTTAGCCTATAGGGCAACTTCAAAACTCGAATTTGTCTCTTCTTTTAAAAGTTTTTATGTGACCCACATGCAGAGCGAAATCCCCTGTCTGGTATTTGTCATTTTTCTCTTTTTTTTTTTTTTTTTTTATAACTACTAAGCTATTTTGATCTCTGTTGCAGTTACATTTCCTTCCGGGTCCAACAGGAAGTGACAGCTGAAGTTTCTGGAGCACATAATGAGGAAGGGGGACCTGGAGAATCTGATACACACGGGTCGAATAGAGGGAAAGAGAGACAACGCATGACATAACCAGCGGACTTGAGCAAGTGGATGACAGAACGTGTTCTGCGAGAGATGGCAAAGGGAAGGAACATGCTTAGAGCTGCAAAAGATAAAGGGAGATGGATGATCGCCTACGTCCTGAAAGGACTTAGCACCTAAAAAGAAAGAATACGAAAAACTACCAAGGAATGGCTTAAAAAAGGATTGGTACACTCTTGATTGGCTTTGCGATTTTGGGGATTTAAAATCCGTAATCCGTAGTTGGACCTGAAGATGGCGGTTCAGGCCAGATATCCCGCCAACCTCTCTTAACCGGAATTTTGCGAGGAGGAGTGGACAAAAATCCGCAACAGGTAGATGCGAAATGACGGTCATTGGCTATAGAAGTTTGGTTGAAGTAATAACTAGAAAATGAGCTCTAACTAGGTATTAACTTTAGTTAATAACTAGTTACACCTCATTGTCTCCCAAATTTTAGCCCGTTTTTAGTTTTGGTAAAATTAACACTCCACACTTTTTTTAATCATTAATTAAAATATATTCCTTTTTTTTTATGTTCATTATTTGGAAAGTCTACTTTACAAATTGGTGTTTTAATAGAATCATATTATTTTTTTCACCAAGAGGCTGAGATAGATAGATAGATAGATAGATAGATAGATAGATAGATAGATAGATAGATAGATAGATAGATATGAAGAGGCTGAGATAGATAGATAGATAGATAGATAGATAGATAGATAGATAGATAGATATGAAGAGGCTGAGATAGATAGATAGATAGATAGATAGATAGATAGATAGATAGATAGATAGATAGATAGATATGAACAGATTGAGATAGAGATAAAAAGACTGAGATAGATAGCTATGAACAGACTTAGATTTCATATCTGTGAAAAGTCGGTAGATAGATAGATAGATAGATATAATGGTTAATGAAAAGTAGATAGATAGATAGATAGATAGATAGATAGATAGATAGATATAATGGTTAATGGTCAGAGTTGAATCAGACCCGGGAACAGTAGTATTAAAAATGCTGAATACACATAAGAAAAAAAATTAGTAAAAATAAAAATAACCTGTAGAGATTAAAGTTTAAAAATCAGGAGCTCAATTAAAATACGCGACCATGAACTCGACCTAGCGGTCTCTTCGGACGATAATTTCAATATGACCACTTTAAAGCTTTATTTAAAAAAAAAAACAAAAAAACACAAATAACGCTACATAATTATTTTTCAAAAAATAACAGGCGTATGATGATTGAAAGACAGGACAATGGGTGTAATAGAAAGGGAAATGTAAAAGGAGTTGAATGAAAGAATGGAAAGTGACAAAAATATGTTGAAACTGTATACAGTAAAAAGGCAAATCAGATATGTAACTTAATTGTTATGGAGGATGTGGGCCGCGTGTCTAAAGGGTAACAGTAGGTTTTTTATTTTAGTTTTTTTTAACCGGTTTCATATCCATTTGATAAAAATTGTTTTATATGAAGGCAATCTTAATATTTCTGATTTTTGGTTTAAAAGATTTTTGGGATCCTAATTGCTAGTTTCTCATATTGGCATAGTTTGCAAATGCAACCATAATTGTTATGTTTTTACCTTTTTTTAAATTGTCCCTGTTATTTTTTTTCTTCTATATTCCACATATGTCTGACAAGTTTGCTGGAGTATCTAAGGTTTGGTAGCTTAAAACTTGATGAGTGATTCTATTATCTAGGCTTAAAAAGGCCTTTCGTGTCGCCTATATATGTTTTAATTTGACCATTTATATTTCTTACTTCTGCTTTATAAATAATATATTCCGTTTTGCAAGCTCTATTTAATGGGCAACTAATTTTATTTCTACAGTTGCATAAATTACTAGTATTTTTTGCTGCACGTTGGTTTTGAGGTTACTGTTATTTTGTCTTTTTATTATTGTATCTAAATTAATTGCGGAGCTGTAGCTTAATATCACTGTATTTTTATTGAATACTAGGAGTAGAGCCCGACGTTGCCCGGGGATGTAACAGTAAGAGATAGATCAAGTATCGACCATCATAAAGACTGAAAAATAAAATTGACAAAGATTATTGTTTAAGGTTGACGGACACGGATGTCTTAATTATTTTTAATTTTTATTTTTTTTTTTTTTTTTTTTTTACGAATTGGTCAAACCCAAACTCAACAAAAACATTGTTTTCAATCGTTATGAGTCTACCGATTGAATAGAATTTTATTATAAACAATTGTCTTGTAAATGGAATTTTTAAAGCATTCTGAATGTAAAAATAAAGAAAAATGTGTGTAAGACAGTAAGAAACACTACCTGCCAAAAAAAAGTGAAGTTTTGTTGAAATCTGTTGAAAAATGTAGGAAATCCGATCCCATATATAAACGAACACACACACACACACAACCTGGGTTTTATAATAAGTATAACTCGATATGAGTTGTCCCCCTTTCATTCTCGCGACCGCGATGCCTCTTAATCGTGTTTTCAAATTGATTTCGTGCAAAAACAATTGTGTTTTTCCAATTTTTGCGCTGTCAGAACCACCGCAAGGTAATTTTACATAGTCCTGTGAAGTTTTGTTGAAATCAGTTGAAAAATGTAGGAAATCCGATCCAATATATAAACGAACACACACACACATACACACACAACCTGGGTTTTATAATAAGTATGACCTTCTGTAGTTCTGAATTTTGGGGGAAGTATTTAGAAAGCAACTTGAAAAATAATTTACCTATATTAAATGTCACCTCTAAGTTAAAAAGGGGATTAAAACAATATTTTTTTCTTTTCCTCGAAGTGGGTGGCTTTCGTATGGTGTTTAATGTGTTGAGGTTTAAATTCTAGTTTCACTTCATGGATATATGTATATAGATTTGTGATATATATATATATATATATATATATATAGAAAAAGGTTTAAATTAACAAAATAATAATGTTTTTTATGAAAGTATTTATTTATTTATATATATATTTGATATTTCAGATTGACCTCAATCTTTCTTCAGAAATAACTGTTTGTTACAAATAAATTAAAATTACTGTTTGTTACAAATAAATTAAAATTACTGTTTGTTTACAAGTAGCGTCCGTCACGAGACCCGGACGTCACGTGATATGGAACGCCACTGTGTTCGAGTATTCCTAACGTAAATTTGAGATATTATGGTGGATGTAGTAAGAAAAGTAGGGGTGAATGCGTTGTTTTGGTGATAGGACTATTGTTGGTATGTTTGGGTCCGTGTCTGTGACTAGCTAAGTTTAGAATTTATATATATATATATATATATATATATATATATATATATATATATATATATATATATCAGTTTTTGTGGTACAAAATTTAAGGATAGCTAGGAATAAGCATAATTTATATGGAATTTTAATGTATATTTTAAAAATCTAAAAAAACAACAGGTTTCGTCTCAGCCTTATCAAGTTTATTTCTGGGATATAAAAATAAACATGTAAATTTAATTGACATTAATAATAACCAATTGATGGAAAAGAAAAAAATATGAATTTCAAGAAAGCTAGAGTCCAATAACATTCAGACCCAATAAGCATTCCCCCTGTTTACAGAGGGAAGGCCCACCGGATCTGATATACAAGGACTCTAGAACCATGAAGTAATATGATGAGTGGGACCTCGATAAAATAGAAAAACGGTCCACCCTAAAATCAAAGACACAATTCCTACTATTTATTACATGCTATGCAATAGAAGAGCCAAAAGTATCAATTAGTTTACTTTTCCTGGCATCTGGATTCAAAATCCTGATGGGTAAGTGTTGCTTTATTCTCAGATCCAAACGTTGAGACGTCCTCCCTATGTAGTCGAGTCCACAACTACCTTGTAATATCAAAGATGAACTGAAGGCAAGGATTATGTCAGCTTCAACAACTTAAACAAGCAAACCGTCCAGAAGAGTTACAGGAGATTCCTAGTGAGTCTGGGAGTCTTGCTTTAAGCCAATGAATATTTTAAAGAAGCCGAACCTAACAAAGGTCAGCGAAACGCGTCGTCAAACAAAATGTGCTATACCGTATAGTGATTTTCCAAGGGTAGCTCAGATATGGAACAAGGCCGAAAGTAGTGGGCACCTAGTGAGAATCGAACTCACTACTCAGTGGTAATTGTTCTAGCGAGACAAGCTTGCTAGCCATTACACCGCCTCGAGGTGCCCCATGCGCTATTCCATATATAGCGGGCTATATGACAGTTACGTGTAGGCGGCAGGTTCGATTCCTGTCGGAGGACATATATTTTCTATGAAATTCAGGACATTCAGGCCGGTAAATGTTGTTACTAGTGTTTATTATAAACATAGCATATACTTAAATAGTTGTATCGCTAAAAATCAAATATAAACAGAAAATAAAATTATATATATATATATATATAATATTAGTGGTAAATATACATACATATGCAAAATATATAAATACCCATACATGTATATTTTTTTAATAAAAATTCCAAGAGGATAGAATCCAGGTAGAACTCAATATCCAGGACCGAGTAAGGATATAATAAAAAGGCTTAAACACTAATATTCCATGGTCATAATTTATTCCATTGGAATCTTAAATACGATCCAATTCATCAGACCTACAAATTCAAAAAGAAAACAGAAAAAACAACTCCGGAAATAAAAACAGAATTTAGAGAAAGTGTAAGTATGAGGAGGAGGGAGATTAAACCTTAACAGAGAGAATTTTAGGAGAGGTGGGTGGA